TACATGGCAAGTAATTTGGAATTGGAAGGGACCCCAAATAATTCGTTGTTTTGCTTGGATGGTCTACCATGGGCGAATCCTAACAAAGGAGCATACAGCTAAATGGAGTGGATCCCCCCTCTGCCATGTCTGTATCTCCCAAGTTGAGAGTATCTTCCATGTGCTCAGAGATTGTAGCAAGGCTGCATCTGTCTGGCTGGAGTGGTTTGCAGGTAAGCCCCATTCTGATTTCTTCTCTCTAGCTACCAATGACTGGATCAGGAAAAACCTGAGGAAAGGTTGGCCTACTTGTCAGCTGTTGGATTGGAAAGACATTTTCATTACCACTACCTGGTTTCTTTGGAGATGGCGCAATAATGAAATACATGATCCATCCTTCACGAGACCAGCCAACCCAATCCCTGTGATCTCAGCCTATATTCGAGACATTAGAGCTTGTTTGCCGAACCGCAACAAGCTGCAGGCCCATCCTCAAGCCAGAACTTGTGCGAATTGGGCACCCCCCCCCCCTCATGGTTGGTGGAAACTTAACGTGGACGCTGCTGTCAAGCAAGGATCTGCCATTGTGGCATGTGGAGGGTCATAAGAGATGATCATGGCTGCTGGGTCTCTGGCTTTTTGTACAAGGTTGGCAGCTGCTCCCCCTTGATAGAAGAACTTTGGGCTATCTTAAGAGGTATACAAATGGCGTGGGATTGTCATGCTCAATGTCTGATAGTGGAAAGTGACAGCCTAATTGCCATCCAAACAATTAACCGGAAAGATGGAGTTGGCTTACAACATCAACTCATCAACAGCATCAAGAGCTGGGCTAACAGAGACTGGTCTTTAATTTTCGCCCATGTAAATAGGAACTGTAATGCAGGTGCAGATTGCCTTGCAAAGTTAGCATTTATTGCTAGGGAGCCCTTCGTTTTACTTCCCTATGCTCCCCCTGTTTTGGATCCTATTTTGGATTCAGATCTCTCTTATCTATAGTTTCTTTTGGGCATTTGCCCCTTTGAAATACTAAAAAAAAAAAAAACATAATATAATTTTTAACAAACATTCAAAATTACTAAACAACAGCTTTTCACATATCTAATGGGTTGAAAATTATCTTCTTCATTTGGTATCAAAGCTATGCATATATGATTATAAGACCCAATTTTTTTTAATTATAAAAAAAATTCTAAATTTGCATATAGAACCTAAAGTTCATGATAAAATTTCGTTTGGAAATTTTTGCAATTGATCTTGAAAACCTAGGGGTTTTTGGAATTTTCTAACCATATATCATATGCATATTTTCATTGAATATTAAGAACATTTTGAATCTGAAATTTTGGGTTTAATTAGTTTAGGAAATTTCTCAAATTTTTTATCGATACATTGAAACCTTAAATTGCTTTGGGGTTTTTGAGAAACAAGCTTTTAGTTATCTATTGACACAAAAATTGTTTGAAATCATTTCCTATAGTGAAGGAATTTCGTTCATGAATGTATTATTACGAAATATAGGGTTCATATGAAAGTTTCAATCTTTCTTTAAATTGATATTATTTCATTGATGTAAAACGAAAATAATACGAAAGTTCTCATGTTATTTTTTCACTGTTTTATGTTGTTTTTAATACAAAAATCACATATTTTTGTGCCAAGAAAAACCGCGACGCATAGCTTAAAAAATCACTTTTTAAACTTTCAAAATTTCTCAAAAATGGCTCAAAAATATGTTATTTTTGAGATAGATTATATTAAACTCTCGTTGGTTTGTTGTTCTGGGTTATTTTGTGATGAAAACCGCTCAAAAATATGCTCTCTTTTAGTTTCGAGCGGTCAACCTACCAAATGAAGAAGAAAACACTGCAATAGAAGAATCTCAAGAAATCCTAAGGGTTGGGGTGAGATTGTGAGAGAGGCATCCTATTTATATTTTTCACCTAAAAAGTCTCACGAAATCCACAACAATAGAAAATCCATTAAAATCGTCGGATTTTTGAATACCACGAGATTGTAATTCCATTGTTTAAAATCCTGATTGAATACCAACAGTTTTGGACGGATTCTAAAATAATCCTTTAAAATCTTAATCGAATACTACATGACTTTTTTTCAATCCATTAAAATCTTAATCGAATACCAATGAATTTTTTTGTCCAAAAACAATCTATTAAAATCCTTTGAAATCTCAATCCAATACACCCCCTAAATCTTCCTCTAATACATTACGGATAATCGGTGTCGAACCAAAACCTTGATATCAGTTTGCAGAATCATATGAAACATCAGTATATAATTCAGAACTTGCAGAACACTAAGGAGCATCTAAAAAATTACCAAAAAAAAACAAAATGACAATGTATAAATACGTAATAATTCCAAAATAACAGTTACAGAAAAATCAAGTTACCTTGACGGCAAGAAGTCCTAGTGCGAAAGCACTCCCTTTCTCAACCTCGTGCTCAAATGGCAATGGCTTCTGAACAGTATCATTCAGAGGTGGCGCCTGAAGGTGTTTAACCAAAGCCGGAATCGCGCCTCCATCAACAATCACGTTCACCACTTCCTCTGCAAACACAACCACCAATCGATTCATACACGCACATGCAACGGACAGAAATAAACACAGAAGAAGAAACACCACACATCCACCGCAATCCGAACAAACGCAGCGATATCGGAGGCATCGAATTTACCATTCTTGGCGAGATCGGCAAGCGCGTGGGTGGCCCGCTTAGCCGCTGCTCGATCGGCTTCGTTCCACGTGAAAGTCGACTCAAGGACGCTCACCTGTTCGGAGACTTCGGCGAGGAGTGCCTTCCAGTCGTCGGCGGTGGGCGGAGCCACCGAGATCTGCAGTTCATCCTCGAGCTTCCGCTTTTGCCCCTTCCTCTCGGAGAGGCTCTGATCTTGGCGCCTGTGAAGCTCCATGAACGAGAACGACCACGAGAGAAGAGGAAGGTTCTTGACTGTGTGTTTGTGCTATCTTTAACATAAAGGAGATAGAAAGAGATACAAAAAGGGATAGAGAGACAGAGAGTAACGGTGAAAAATGGAACGTGAGATTTGAATTGGTGACAGATAAGAGGGGTAATTCGGGAATTGCTGGGGTTCATGGAGACCACTGTTACACTTAAAAAATAATAATTATAATTATAAGAAAAAAGTGTTTATACTTTAGAAGGATGATTATTTTAATTAAAATTAGTATTTGTAATTTAAAATTTAAATTAAAAAATAATATTATTTTTACTTATAATTTTTCTTGTGTATTTTTTCACTCAGAGTGATATAATTTTATATTCTTTGAAAAAGTAATTATCAATTTTTAATTATAATAATAAAAAATTGAGAAATAAAGGGTTGTCGGGTTTTGAACCCGCCGCTTCATTTTTACTTTTTATGGAAATAAACGCTTAATTGTGCGAATTGCTTAAGCATTCTACTCCCTAGCTAACTCAGAAATGTTTGACTGGGCTCGTCACCATTTAAGCTTGAAAGAAACGGAATTTGGATGACCACTGTTTTATCTCGTAGATAAATTATTTTTGATGAGCCTCAAAATGACGTCGTTTTATAACAGAAATCAAGATATTTTTATAATTTTAATTTATTATAATATTATATTAGTCTTTATTTTATAATCTTACAATTCAAAACGACATCATTTTGAATTTACAAAAGATAACTTTATATCCAATAATTATTTTTCCCTTTATATAATGGGTTTTATGTTTGTAATGTTAATTGATGTATCATAACTTTTTTACACACACAATTTACCTTTTTTCTCTCTCCTCTCTTTTTAATTGTGTGTGTAAGAAAGTTATGTTACATCATGTAACATAACAAACATAAAACGCTTATATAATTTATATAAATTTGTCTGCAATTTCCACTGAATCATTTTCCACCCAAATTGATCCTCTTTACACTTGCATTTTTTCAAAACAGTGACCAAAATGTCACTGTTCATCAAGTGTTTTACCTAAATGTCACGGGAACAGTGTTATTTCTCAATATGCCACGTGAGCAAGTTCGTTGGGGCACTGTAACGAACTCTGTTTGCTGACGTGTTACATTTTTAATGGACACCAAGTTCGCTACACGGGGTAGCGAACTTGGTTGAAATACATATTCCAACCAAGTTTGCTAACCAATGTAGCGAACTTGGTACTTTTTTTTTTACTTGGTACTTGTTATCCACTAGAAACGTGACACGTCAGCAAACAGAGTTCGCTACAGTGCCCAGCGAACTTGCCCATGTGGCACATTGAAAAATAATATTGTTCACGTGTGTTACCATACTCCAACTCAGCTAAAGCACACGTGGATGAAGTGAAGCAACACGTGATGAATCTAACTAACTCTGTTTGCCTATGAGCGGGCATCAGTTTCTTTTCTGTTTCTTTCTGTTAGTTAGTTATTGTTAATGGTAGTTACTATTAGTTATTTTTCCGCCATTTATAGCATGAGCTTCTCACCTGGTGTATATAAGGTGAAAGCCTTCTCTTGTAAATCAGATTTGTATAATGAAAGTTTTTCAGAATTCCAAGATGGTATCAAAGCTTTAGGTGGTGTTTGGTTGGGAGCTTTTCAGCGGATATCTATCTTTCTCAAGTATGGCTTTTAGAAACACCATGTTTGTTTCAACGTTTTTCACCAAAAACCCATCTATCCAATTTGTCTGGATTTATGAGAAACATAGATATCCGCACTGTTTAGAAACCCAATTTGAAGATGAGATTTTTCGAAAAACCGGTTATCTGGCTTTTAATGCACTGTAGATTTCATAAAGCTACCTAATTTTCCCAGTAAAGTTTTTTCCCACCAAACAACTTTTTTTTACATTTTTCTACCTATCTCACTTTATCTATCTTTTCAATCATTTCTCTATCTATCTCATTTCCCTACTATTCCAAAAACATTTCCTGAACCAAACGCCCCCTTAAGGGCTCTGAACCATTCATTGCTTCCGCAACTATTTTCTCTTATCAAGCTCCATAATCTGCACAACTATGGCAGATCAAAACCAATTCTCATATCCCTATTACCTTCATCCGAACGAATCGCCCTCATTGATTCTTGTTTCTCCGTTGATGAATGGAAAGAATTTCAGTTCATGGTCATGTGCCATGAAGGTAGCTTTAACATCGAAGAACAAACTTGTTTTTGTTAATGGCAACATCACAACTCCTGAAGAAGATGATCCATTGTTTGCAGCCTCGGAGAGATGCAACACAATGATACTTTCTTGGCTCCACCGTTCTCTTGATGATTCCATTATTCAATCGATTATTTGGATCGATAAAGCATACGAAGTGTGGAGTGACTTACAAGATCGCTTCTCTCAATTTGATATGTTTAGGATATCAGATCTACAAGAAGATTTTCATCAGATTAATCAAGGTGACAAATCGATTTCTGATTATTTCACAAGCTTGAAGACGATTTCAGATGAGCTAAATAATATAAGACCACTTCATCCTTATACCTGTGGAAATCTAGCTCGCATGCGTGAGTATAGAGATACAGATCAAGTAATCAAGTTTTTGAGAGGCCTCAATGAGCAATTTGCTCATGTCTGTTCACAAATAATGCTCATGTCTCCTCTCCCTAACATCAACAGAGCATTTTCTTTGGTTTTACAACAAGAAAGGCAACTCCAATCAGATACACGTGGTGGAGGTGCAAAGGAGATAATTTTTTTTGCAAATTCCTCTGATAGTTATCGTGGTCGTGGTTATTCATATAATAGAGGTAGAGGAAGGTCAAATATTGGACGTGGACAAGCCATAGGGAACAAATTTTGCACTCATTGCAAAAAGACTAATCACACGATTGATACATGTTATTTCAAACATGGATTACCTCAAGGCTACCGTTCAATGAATTATCAGAATTCTAGCAATGCTGTGATTTCAGAAGAAATTAATAACACTGCTGCAAAGTGTGAGAATGATGTGCAACAATAGATCTCAATTCCAAGGACCAAATATGAGGAATTCTGCAATTTCATGCAACAATCTGAATCTGAACATGCCACAAATATGGCACAAACAACAATGGATGATCATATTTCTCCAAATACAGGTATAAATTCAATTATATGGATTTTAGATACCAGAGCTATAGATCATATTGCTAATCTTCGATGCATATTTTCGTCTCTTCACAAGATATCACCTATATCCATAAAACTTCCTAATGGTGCTTCTGTTTCTGCTTCATATTCTGGAAATGTCAGCATTTCTTCATCTCTTATTTTAAAGAATGTATTGTATGTCCCATAATTCAAGGTTAATCTCGTGTCTGTTAAAAGATTACTTGATAATGTTGAGTGTTTACACACTTTTCATGCTTCAACATGTCTCATCAAACAGAACCGCACTTTGAATACGATTGGTACAGCTGAAAGGCATGGAGGATTGTTTGTAATGACCACTGACTTGCTTCCTTTGAAGTCAATATTTCAAAATTTCAGTAATTTTGTTCAATGTAAAAAAGATGATCCATCTATATGGCATCTTCGTTTAGGCCATGTTTCAGATAATGTCTTGAAGCATGTTGCTTCATAATTTCCTTTCATACCAAGTGTAGTTACAAAACCGTGTGATATATGCCATTTATCTAGACAAAAGAAGCTACCATTTCCAACTAGTAATTCATTGGTGAATAAGGTGTTTGAAAGATTGCATGCTGACATTTGGGGGCCTTTTTCTGCTCCTACTGTCTAAGGGTATAGATATTTTCTGACCTTGGCAGATGAATTTTCCAGATTCACTTGGGTCAGATTCATGGTACACAAGAGTGAGACTCGAACAATGCTGCAGAATTTCATTAATCTCATAAAAAATCAGTTTAATGTATCATTGAATTGCATTCGAATTGATAATGGCAAGGAATTCATGATACCATAATTCTATTCACATACAGGGATAATACATGAGACTAGTTGTGTGGAAACTCCACAACAAAATGGATTGGTGGAGCGCAAACACCAACACATTATGAATGTCACAAGAGCTTTAGCATTTCAAGCATCAATACCACACTCTCTTTGGAGTTTTGCAGTGAACCATTCCATCTTTATTATTAATAACCTTCCAACTCCTTTACTTCAGCAAAAGTCACCATATGAAATCCTATATTCCAAACCTCCCACCCTTACAAACTTTTAAAGTTTTTGGTTGCTTAGCTTATGCTTCCACATTATCCTCCCATAGACACAAACTGTCACCACGAGCCCGTAAATGTGTTTACTTAGGACACCTTGCTCATACCAAAGGTTGTATTCTTTATGACCTTCAATCTTAACAGATCTTCATCTCTCGTAACTCAATTCTATATGAGACTTTCTTTCCTTTTTCTAATAAACCACCTATCCATGACAGTGAATCCAGCCAATTCACTATATTTCCCAATCCTTCATCACTTGACTATGATTCAACTCATCATAACACTATTAATCCTCCTTCACCGATAACAGATACCAATCTTCCTGAAAACCAAATACCCATACACTTGTCCCCAATTCGTCGTTCCTCAAGAATCAGACAGCCACCTTCTTACCTTCATGATTTCCACTGCAATTCTCTTCATACATCCTCAGCTGTAAAATATCCCTTACATGACGTACTCACATATGATCATTGTTCCCCAAAGTTTCAAAAGTTTTGTTTTAATGTTTCACTGTAGGTTGATCCCAGAACTTACAATGAAGCCATTAAGCACAATTGCTGAAAACAAGCCATGAACACAGAGTTACAGGCCTTATCTCTTAATGATACATGGAAACTTGTTGATTTACCCGAAGGAAAGACTCCCATTGGATGCAAATGGGTGTATAAAACTAAATATAATGCTGATGGCACCATAGAAAGACACAAAGCAAGATTAGTTGCAAAAAGGTATACTCAAATCGAGGGCATAGACTACTTCGATACATTTTCCCCAGTTGCCAAGTTAACAATTGTGCGCACTCTTCTTGCTCTTGCAGCTGCCAACAATTGGTTCCTCGAGCAATTAGATGTCAATAACGCATTCTTGCATGGAGATTTAGATGAAGATGTCTACATGGTTCTACCACCAGGCATGGTCAGTCCGAAACCAAATCAAGTTTGCAAGCTTCTCAAGTCACTATGTGGCCTCAAATAGGCTAGTCGGCAATGGCACTCCAAGCTTACTTCTGCCCTGTTCTCCTTGGGTTATATTCAATCACAAGCTGATCATTCCCTTTTTACATCAAAGAATGGTCATCACTTCACTGCAGTTTTAGTTTATGTGGATGATTTGGTTTTGGCTGGCAACAGTATGCTTGAAATTCAGCGTGTTAAACAGTTTCTTGACAATAAGTTTCGTATAAAGGATCTTGGTGCATTAAGATTCTTCCTTGGTCTCTAGATTTCTCATTCCACAAAAGGCATTGTTGTTACTCAACGAAAGTATGCTTTGGAACTTCTTTCTGATTCTGGTTTGCTTGCTGCAAAGTCAGCATCCACTCCCATGGATGCATCCATCAAGCTTAAGCGTGCCATGGGTGTTATATTACCTGATCCTTCTTCTTATCGTCGACTTGTTGGGAGACTCCTCTATCTCACAACAACACGACCAAACATTGCTTTTCCTGTTCAACAATTAAGTCAGTTCATCTCTGCTCCTACTGATGCACATCAAGCTGCAGCATTTCGGGTTCTTCGCTACATAAAGAACTCCCCTGCTTCTGGTCTTTTCTTTCCCAATGATAATGATTTAAAGCTATCTAGTTACTCTGATTCAGACTGGGCCTCTTACCCTGATACACGACGATCAATAACAGGAAATTGTGTATTTCGTGGTTCAGCACTTATCTCATTGAAATCCAAAAAGCAAACCATTGTCTCTCGATCTTCGTGTGAAGCTGAATATCGAGCTTTAGCCAGCCTTTCTTGTGAGGGTCAATGGTTTTCTTATCTTCTTGCTGATTTACATTTTCCCTTGTCCCAGGCTTCAGCAGTTTACTGTGATAATGCTTCAGCCTTATATTTAGCTCACAATCCCACGTTTCATGAGCGCACCAAACATGTTGAATTAGATTGTCATGTTGTTCGTGAGAAAGTGGTTCAAGGTTTAATTCATTTATTACCTGTCTCCTCAACAAACCAGATAGCTGATCTCTTTACAAAACCTTTGTATGTTTCTGCATTTCAGAAAGCCATTTCCAAGTTGGGACTTCTGGATATCCATCGTCCCACTTGCGGGGGGATGTTACCATACTCCAACTCAGCTAAAGCACACGTGGATGAAGTGAAGCAACACGTGGATGAATCTAACTAACTCTGTTTGCGTATGAGCTGGCATCAGTTTCTTTCTGTTAGTTAGTTATTGTTAATGGTAGTTACTGGTAGTTATTTTTCTGCCATTTATAGCATGAGCTTCTCACCTGATGTATATAAGGTGAAAGCCTTCTCTTGTAAATCAAATTTGTATAATGAAAGTTTTTCAGAATTCCAAGAGTGTGACATTTAGTAAAAAAACTTTGTGAAAAGTGACATTTTGGTCGGTGTTCCCATCTTTTCAACTTCTCACGATAATTCTCAAGTGATCATTGAATTACAATCGGACACTTTAATGTTATTGGCCAATTAATTGTTAGATAAGGACAATTTGATCTGTTAAAATATTCCATTTGATTCTCTCAAACTTTTTTAAGACGCTTTATTTTCTTAGAGCATATCTTTTATCTTATACCTTTTATTCTTGTTTCCTTTTCTATGATAATTTATGTATAATGAAAAAATTAGCACTAGGTTATATTTCCGACCAATATAATTTTATTTTTTTTATCTTTACTATCACGTTTACATTGTTAGATGGCATGCAAATTAATAGCTTTCATTCTAGTTAAAATAATAAATCAATAGCTTCCAATCACACTGTATCTCACTGCTTACAAGAAGAGAGGATTACAAGAAGGGAGAATAGAGAAGAAAGAGAAAGGAAATAATGGAATCCAGTGTGCTTGGAAGCCGCTGATGTATATACTGTACAAAATTCATAATAAAGATAAGAACATTAAACTAGTATGTAATATAACCTACCTCAAAAAGTTAAATGAGATTAATGGTTTGTTTAGTTGTGTTTTGATTTTTTTGTTCTTAAATAATTAATGAAATACATGTTTTTTTATGATTTTTTTTTTAAATTGAAAGTCAAAATACATAACAAAAATAACTCAAATATATTCTCTAAATTTAATTCTAAAAAAAAAAAAACAATTACAATTTTTAAACTGTTTTTACGAAACAGGACTTATCAAATAAATGTTTTTTTTGCTAAAAATCAAAAACTATTTTCCAAAATAGATTTCAAACATGCCCTCAATTATTGTTTTTGTTTTCACTCTTGAATAAATCCTGCAAAACACGGGTATTACATGAAGTATTCAGAATATTGGGTTGTCTTTATTAAATCACTCGTTAATTAAAAAACATAAACTAACGATGCATAAAAGATCATGAAGAAAATCAACTGTGAAAATCAAACACAAATCCATGGATAAATTCAATGGCAACTTCATGCCTAGTCTAGTTATGACATGCACGATGACTAGAAAAAAGTGTTTGCAAGGAATATGTTAGTGGATAATTTTTTTAGAAGATAAGCATTGGTAGTTTTTTTTTTTTTTTTTTGGTATCTTAGCATTAGTAGGTTGTTTTATTTCGTTTAGTGAGTGTTTTATGGATGATTATTACTTTTAACTTATATTTTATCTATTTAAACTTCCATTACATGAAATGAAAAAAAAATCAATCAAAGAAAAATTCATTTTTTATTGCATTTGTATGATTATAGCAGGGTTCCGCAGTTAAACTCAAATCCTATACATTAGTTTCAAGAATTCTTCACACAATTGTAAAATTATTTAGATGTAACCCCCTCAATTGCTGATCACATCGGAGAGAGCTCCCCAAACAACCAAGCAATAAATATGTTA